CTGGTAGCTTGCTTTCTCACTTTCTCTCTCTCTCTGTCCCCCTCAGGTCAAATTAAAATAAACACATACATACATAAATAAACAAGTAAAATAATTCTTTTTTTTTTTTTAAAAAAAGAAAGTACTCAGATTGAGACTCTGGCTCTAGAACCTTAGCCAGTACAACACCATTTGCATATTTATAGACATGCACGTGGTCACACATATGGATAAATAAGTGTGTGTGTGTGTGTGTGTGTGTGTGTGTATTTATATCCGACTCCAGATGGGTATAGAGAGAAATAGATATTATTTAGACTGGAGCTGAGATTTTGGTTTCAAACCCCTTGAGGGCTGGAAGAAAAACAGACAACAAAGCCTAATTCTTTCTACCTTGACTGCCAGGGGTTAATTTGCTTGCAAAAACCTCCACTGTCAGTTTTGCTTTTCTCGTGTGTCTTCTACTTACCTCTTAGCAGACAGCACTTCCTAAATGGTGAGCAAATTAATGCACCAATAATTTGCAATATTATATAGTTTTTTTTCTTCTTGCTGTATATTTCTACTCACACTGTTCTTCTCTCCTGTCCCTGGCTGCAGAGGAGTTTTGCCATTTCAGTAAGCCACTTTTTTCTGGTTGCTTTCAAAGATGGTGGACCTTTTTGGTTTAAAGATTTTACTGCCTTTTGTGAAAATAAATAGTAGCTACACAAGAAAATTCTAAAGCTTGAAGAGTCTTTGCAGTCCTGAAACTGGCCTGTGTCATTCATAATTCTTTTTCATCTCCATCTTTTGGTGGGGCTTATATCCCAGGCTACTTTTTTCTAGAATCACTTCTTTTCGCAATAAAATAATGTAATTCATGTAGAATCAGACCCCTCCTACCCTCCCACACACCCCCAGGGAATAATATCATTTTTAAAGATCTCTTGTCTAAGAGATATCCAGTTTACCACACTTTGATCCCACCCAGAAATGATCCTATGTGGGGTTTCCTCACACCAAGACCCCTTTGTCCCTGTCCCCACACACACTATGATCTGCTAGTTTACTTGATACCTACTGATTTCCAGGAATGCATGGGGTTCTTTATAGACAAGTCTTTAATAACACTATAACAGGGCTATAAGGACAATCGTCCCTTGGTATGTGCAAGGGATTGCTTCTAGGACCCCCTCAGATACCAAAAATTCATGGATGCTCAAGGTTCTTACATAAAATGGAAGAGTATATATTTGTATGTAATCTATACATATTCTCCTATATACTTTTTTCATTAGAGAGATTTTTGCTATTGGGTGCGTGTGCTAGCTGGAGAGACAGAGTGAGATGAAGAGACAGAAAGCAAAATCACCCTCCAGGAAGGATGGACAGGCCACAATCTCTTCTCCTCCATTCTCCTCTGGGGATTTGGGCATACATGTACATGTGCCTGGCATGAATTTTAAGCCACATGGTCTGGAACTCAAGCCATGGCAGACTACATGGGAGTCCAGCTACGTAACCATTTTGCCATCTGCTGGTGCTTCCTCCTGTAAACTAAATCATCTCCAGATTGCTGATAATAGATAATGCAATATAAATACTCTATAAACAATTGTAATCCTGTACTTTTTTATTTGTATTATTTTTTATTGTATTTTTTTTTCTTAATATTCTTTTGAATCTGCAGCCGGTTGAATCTTTGAATGCAAAACCTTCTTATATGAAGGGGCATTTATCTATTTTTAGCTAAATTAAGAATCAGAGATTTTTTTTTTGAAAGGTTTTTGCTATAGGGTGTGTGTGCTCACCAGAAAGACAGAGAGACATAAAGTGAGAAATCATCACCCCCAGGGAGTGATGGCCACACCGCAATTCCTTCTCCTCCATTCTCCTCTCAGGATCTTGGGCATGCATGCACATGTGCCCAGCGTGAGTTTAAGCTACCGGGTCCGGGACTTGAACTGTGGTCAACTACATGGGAGTCCAGTGACATAGCCATTACGCCATCTACTGATCCCAAGAATCAGAGATTCTAAATAATTTATAGAAGGTTGGGAAAAGGCGGATTGTTTCTCACCTTAACTGTCTGGATGGTCTTCATTGCTTATGTTAAATTCTAGTCTTTATCTCCATACTCATTTCTTATTATATCATGTGCTGCCCTCAAAAAATAAGAATTATTTTAATAATCTATAGTTGATAGATTGATGGAGTAACATCCTGTGGTTCAGTTCTCTTTGTGGCTAGCAATACATATTTGGGAAAAGCTTATCTTAGTGACTGATAGAGGAAACAGAATGAATGAATCTAATTAGGTTTTATGAAGCTAGAGACTTGAAGCATCGGCTTCAGGGACAACAGGATTTAAGTGGGTGAACCAGCTAAGAAATCAGACTAGTCAATGTTGAGTCATTTGGCAACTTGTCTCTTAAATTAGTGACTTGAAAAATGAGTTAGTTACTCTCATTTTACCCTGCTTTGGGAGTCTAAATAACTGGAAAGATTTATACCACTTCCAAATTCATTAAAACGAGAGAATAGTTGGTGTTTTGGGAGAATTTAACACCTTCTGCCTAATTGCACTCTAGCTTTGTAAAGTTAGGGGATTGGCACAGAATTTTTTGACTAACATACGTAGCACAAGAATAATTCTAAGCGTTTTCATATTAAGGATGCGAGGATTGTTTTCAGAGACAGGGCCATGATATAGTGCATGACACTGAACTTCGGTCTTAGTAAACTGTGGTCTTGTGAATAAGGGATGACTTGATAGTTTAATATTCGATTTAAAAGGTTTTATGTTTGTTTTTTTCTTTTTTCTTTTTTCCTTTTATTTGTGATAGAGCAGATATGTGTATGAGAGGAAAGAGAGAGAGGGAGGAAGAGAGCAGTACCCTCTACAAGGCTCTTCTCATTTTGATCCCCTTTCTCTAGTCTGCTAGGATACCTTGGGCACCCACACAAGTGCTCAGTGTGTTTTTAGGCCTACTGGGCTGGGAACTTGAACCATGGTCGACATGTGGCTTCCAGCTCTGCAGTCTAGTACACTACTGGCTGCACCCCAGGGCTCGACCTGCTTTTGTTCTTTATAAAACAATTCCCTCTACTGTCCTTTCTCCCCTCCTCCTCTCATAGCCTAAGAATACTTGCCCAACAAGCCTGTCTAGAAGATGGCTCACTGCTGCATGTTAAGAACTTATGCACACATTCATTTACAATACCACTGGGAGCACCGCGATCATGCCAGTAATTCAGAATCTCATTCAAGTTTATTCTCAGGTCCCAATCTAACAGCTTCTATTACTTATTCAGGATATAAGTCAGTCCCAGGCCACCCCTTTGAATTCTAGTCTTTTCAGCCTTCTTATGTATTCTTAATATGTAAAAATAGCAAACACCGCCACATCAATGGGAACTTAAAGGTTAAACCTGCCACATCTCTGCAACATATTAGGACAGTCTTCTGGAAGCCAGTGTTTATTAATGACTACTTCAAACTTGAATACTATGAGGAATATCTGGGTGCTACAGAATTACTTTTATAAATACGTGTAGTTTTTGTTTATATCATCCATCTTAGGCAATCTGCACTGGCTGTTTGGTTGTACCTGTTTGCAACTGGAGGCTGTGTTATATCTTTACATCGATGTCTTTGTTGTTGTAGAGATCACAATTACTCCAGTTTGAAATTTGGAGGGAGAGCAGGGCAGGAATGTTTGGATTACAGCAATGAAAAAAAAATGCACATGAAAAAGTGTGAAGTTTAAATATTCAGTAGTTAGACTAAAGAGCCATAAGCCTTCTGATAATCAGAGTAGTATTTTTCCAAACCACCCGATCAAGTTCTACTTTTATGCTTTTGCTCATATGTTCCTAACACTTACAGATGGTTTATTTTTTATTTTCATTGGATTAACTCAATAAAACCAAGTGTCTGAGTCTCCACTAAAGCAATAGTAACAATGAAATCACAACTTTGCGAGACCAATTATTTATATGTCTAATCAATGTTAGAATAAATACATGGCTATTAAATAAAAAAATATTTCCCTGAACCAAATGAAATCATCCCTCATTGGGGCTAGCTGGTGGCATAGTGGTTAAGGTGCTGGACTCCCACATGGCTGACCTCGGTTCAAGTCCCGAACCAGGCGGCCTGCTTTCTCACTTTCTCTTTCTCTCTCTGTCTCTCTATGGTGAGCTCATGTGTCCTATAGCAAATTTAAAAATAACAATAATAATAATAAATAAAATTAAATAATTTTTTTTAAAAAAACCCTCATCTCTCATAAATCTTAACCTGTATAGCCCATCCTGAAACTCACTGGGCCTGCACCAAGGATATTCTTATAGGAGAGGGACAGAACCTTGCCCCATAGGTCATTTTTGGACCACTCTGGCTTTAGGACATGAAGTAAAGGATGTAGATGAATTCCCATACTTCTGTTTTTGTCTAGTGACTACAACCCAGAGCATTATTAGAAATGCAAAACTTAATAGGTAGATTCGGCAGGAGAAAAGTGTTCACAAGCCAGCACTGACTCTGCCTCCACCCCCCAAGGAAGGCAGATGTGTTATTTTCTAAATCAGGGGAAGGTTTCTTACTCTAGCTGCACTGGGAGCTGGGAATTGTGACATTTCCGAGCTTCTGTCGCCGTAGCTGCTCGTTTGTGTTTTATCTTTGCCATGCTGACATCCAAATCGCAGTTTTGTTGTGGTGATTTTGACAGCTGTCCGGAGAGAATGGCCCGAGAGAACAGCAGGTAATCCAGACTGCACTTAGGTGTGATATCTGTGCTCACAAAGCAAAGGGATGGGGGAAGAATGAACCGAAGTCCCAACTCCTCTTCCAAAAGGAATAAAGGACAGCAGCCAGTGGCTTTCCGGTGGAAAGGATAGGGCATTGGTTGCTGATCAAACAGTGATGACTGCTGTGTTTCTAGTTATGAAACAGATTGGAACGAGGGGGTCGGTGGGGATCGTTGGGAACTGAAACTCTACTCTGTCATTCCTAATCGGTGTGCCCTTTTTCAGGTCTCCGAGCAAGATGGGAAATGGTTCAGTGAAACCCAAACATTCCAAGTATCCAGATGGCCACTTGGGCAACCTCACTGCTGATGCCCTGCGGAGTAAGGTGACGGAACTAGAGAGGGAGCTGAGGAGGAAGGATGCTGAGATCCAGGAGCGGGAGTACCATTTGAAGGAGCTGAGGGAGCAGCTGTCGAAGCAGACTGTGGCCATTGCTGAGCTCACGGAGGAGCTGCAGAACAAGTGTATCCAGCTGAACAAGCTCCAGGACGTGATACATGTGCAGGGAGGGAGCCCACCTCAGGCCTCTCCAGATAAAGTGCCTCTCGAGATCCACAGGAAGACCTCGGGCTTGGTCTCCCTCTACAGCAGGAGGGGAGCAAAGGCTGGGGTGTCTGCTGAGCCAACCACCCGAACCTATGACCTCAATAAACCCCCTGAATTTTCCTTTGAAAAAGCCAGAGTCAGAAAGGACTCCAGGTAAGAAGTTCCCATGTCATTTGAACTCTGATGGCCTTAAATATTATGAAATATTAGAGTGATGGCTATGAAGCTTTCCTAATAGTAAAGGACTTATTAACCCTTTTGGATTGGGGATAGAGGAATTTCTCAAATGGTTTTGTTTTGCAAAAAGGATCTCCTTGTAAGTAGACATGTTTCTTAAAGCAAGGATTTTTACTTTACCTGGACTTTGCTATGAGAAACACACACACATACACACACACACACACACACACTGAACATTTCTTATCTGAAATACTGAATACTAGAAATGTTTGGGATTTCAGATTTTTTAAAATTTTGAAATGTCTATATGTGCATAATAAAATATTTTGGGGCCTAGGGCCCAAGTCTAAATTTAAAAAAATTATGTTTTATGTATATCTTACACACATGGCCTGAAGGTACTTGAATATAATTTTTTTGTGCATGAAAAGAAGTTTATATACACGGAACTTTCAGGAAGCAAAGGCGTCACTCTCAGCCACCCATGTGACACTCCGTGGTTGTGTGGCATCGCTCTCATTCCTGACTCCAAATTTACATGCTGCCAATAAGCAATCATTGTCTTACAGTAGTTCACACGTAAGTTCTTAACAGTAAAAAATACAGCATAGCATTAAAACAATGAGAATATAATGCATTCAGAATAGGTAAGCAGCATATTAACATCATCAGGATGCCTGTATCAGGTGTTAAACAACAGTGCTCAAAATATTTTGGATTTTGGAGCATTTTGGATAGCAGATTTTTGGATTAGAGATACTCAATCTGTGTGCGTGCACATGCCCAGGGAGTTGAGCTTACCAAAAGTCACTTCTGTGCTCTTGAAAATTCTGGGGAGTGAAGTAGTTTAAGGAAGTCTATACTTCTCTTTCTAGAAGAGTGTACTTAAGAATATGCACAAATGACAATGAATTACAAACATGTCTTAGCAGTTAGATTGTGTCATGAGAAAGGAACACACTGGAGCCTCAGAGGGACACGACTTCGTTCGTCCGTTCCACAGTTTACGTGGAACACTCCTCACTGCCAACTGCTGCAGTAGATGCTTAAACAAAATCAATACCGAGCCTTTCTTGTAGGAGATTGAATACACAGAAATGAGCCAGCAATGTATAATTATTAATTGATGTGATGGAAACTAACAGGGTAGTTGGTGGTGTCTAGGGTGAGGGGGAAAGAAGGATAGGAGCAACAGAAGTAGGCTTGTCACGAAGGCCTGACTGAGGCGGTGACTTTTTAAAAAAATTTTTAATTTTTTTTTCAGCCATAAGGCATGTGCACTAGTCAGAGAGACAGAGACAGAGAGAGGGGGTGTGACCATGCTGCAGTCTCCTCTCCTCCATTCTTCTCTCGGGATTTTGGTCATGTACATACCCATGCCCGGGATGAGTTTGAAGCTGCTAGGTCTGTGACTTGATCCATGGTTGGCCACTTGGGAATCCAGCGCCTTAACCACTATGCCATCTGCTGGTTCCAAGGAGCTGAACTTTGAGAGCATGCCATGCAAAGAGAACAATGTACAGCTAGCATTAATGATAAAACTGCAATGTAAAAAGAGCATGTAAAGTTTTACCACCTCTTCCTTGTGAATGTGTGCGTGTTTGTGTGTATGTTTCTCCTCTGGCTTAAGTTTGACTTTTCTTGACCAGGAAAGATTGATTAGAAACATCATGAGTTAAACTCCCCATTCTGCCTAGGTTGAAATGAGTAATCATTTATTAAAATTATAATTTTTTGGTTTGATAAGGTCTTGTCTGATCCTGAACCTCTCTTGCAAAATGCAAGATCTGTGAAATTATAACAAGTTTTAAATGTATTAACACACATGAATAGTATAAATCAAGATAAGACATCTAACTGAAACTAACAAACGATTAATTTTCACAACAAAACTTTAGAGAGAAGTTTATCAGTTTGTCGACAGTACTTGGCATATAAGGAATGATCCATAAATATTTGTTAAGGAAGTTTATCATGTTGCATTATTAATCATAATATTCTGTGACTGAAAGAAGTCTGGTTAATATTGGACTTCAAAAGAGTATTATTAAATCAAAATTTTATTATTAATTGGCTTATGCAGGTCTTACCTATTCCTTTTCAAAAGTAATAATTATTTCTTTTTAATGGTATGAATTCAGAAATTAGAAATATCACAAATTTATGCTTAGTTTTAAAAATCCAAATGTCATCCAGTGTCCTCTTTTGCTATATTAGAGATGTATAAATATGTAGTAATATTATGCATTATGTTACTATACATCTGTATGTAAGAGTAATGCATTTTTTAAAATAGTAGTATGTTTCATATATAGGACAACATGTAAGAGTATTTTTTTTAAGAGGTTTTTACTATAGGGAATGTGCGCTCGCCAGAAAGATAGAGTGATAGACAGAAAGTGAAAAATCACCCCCAGGAGGATGGCCATGCTGCAATTCCTTCTCCTCCATTCTCCTCTCGGGATCCTGGGTGCGCACACACACACACACACACACCCAGCGTGAGTTTAAGCCACCAGGTCAGGGACTCGAACTGCGGTCGACTACATGGGAGTCCAGCAACATACCCATTACATGAACTGCTGCTGGTCCCTTATAAGAGTATTTAGTAGCAATTTCTTTAAGCTTTTCCCTACACACGCCACCAGGTTTCTCTTCCCGAACCAAGGTTATGAACAAGGGAAAATATCATTCTTCTGGTGCTGAACTGTCTGAGACAAGCGTGTTCCTTTGAATTTCTTTCTTATCTCTGTTATAACCAGGCAGAGAAAGACAATGGTTATGCACCATCCATTTCTAGGCCAAACCACAATCTTGTTGATCTGTCTGTAGTGAGTGGGTCACAGGAAAGAGAAATTTCCTGAGTAAAGGTTATCAAAGAGTCCCTTACTGTAGTAAAGGCAAGCCAAATGGGTCTAAGCCTATGCTGAAGTCAGGATGAAGAAATGGACTAAATAATTTCTGGAAGAGGCCAAACTAGATCATTCATGCCCTAATAACCCTCATCTGCTTTCACAGAGCCTTGCAGTTCTAAATTGAAAAATTAAATAGAATATGGAACTGCAGTTTTTTTCACTGACTGGTTCATGCCTTACTATTCCTTGGAAAAAAATGCAAATGGATCTCTTCTGAAGTCTGAGATAACTGGCTAAACACACTTAGCTAACTTTGTCAATTCAGAGAATTTGAATTTTCCAATTTGTTTTCCTTTTAAAATCTATCCATTTCTTTGCTTGAGTAAGGGAGAGTAACAGAAGGAACAAGAGAGAGATAGAGGGACAGGCACTCAGCAGTGTCATTTTTCATTTCCAAAGAGTTCCTGTCTGAGGAAAAAGCCAAAAGTAAACTTTGGATTTTTTTCATCCTTTCTATATTATACAGTCTATCAAAACTTTTGTAGTGGACAATTTATTAGAAGTTAGAGCATTTAAGGGGGCCAGCTGTTAGCTTAATGGCTATGTCGCTGGACTCCCACGTAGCCAACCATGGTTCGAGTCCCGAACCCGGTGGCTTAAACTCATGCCAGGCGCGTGTGCGTGCGTGCCCAAGATCCCGAGAGGAGAAGGGAGGAGAAGGGATTGCGGTGTGGCCATCCCCCCTGGGGGGTGATTTCTCGCTTTCTGTCTCTCTGTGTCTGTCTTTCTGGCAAGCGCGCATGCCCTATAGCAAAAACCTCTTCAAAAAAAAGCAGTTTCCAGGATAAATCATTCCTGTCCAGTCGAAGCTTCTGCAGTGATGGACCTATTCTGTCACCTGTGCTGTCCATTTCAGTACCCAGTAGCCATATATAACCATTGAGCACTTGAAATGTGGCTACTTCTACCAAGGAACTGAAGTGTTACATGTAATTCATTTAAAAATTAAATCACCACAGGGCCAGCAGGTTGCACAGTGGTTAAGGCACTGGACTCCCACATGATCACCTGTGGTTCAAGTCTTGGATCCAAGAGCTTAAAACTCATGCCAGGCCTGTGTGTGTGCATTCCAAAAATTCTGAGAGGAGAATGGAGGAGAAGGGATTGTGGTGTGGCCATTCCCCCTGGTATGACCATTCCCCCTTGATTTCTTGCTTTCTGTCTCTCTGGCAAGTACATGTGCCCTCTAGTAAATATCTCACCATATGTGCCCAATGGCTACTGTATTGGCTATTGCAGATCTAGATTGTATTTTGATTGTAACTGCTATTGTCCCAGATGGGAATTAAGTCCTAGAGAAATTTGGGAAGACTATAGACAAAGTCAGACTTACATTCAGCTTTTAGGACAAAGCCACAGAAAGTGAAAATGTACCCATCAGACCGAAGTGGGCATAATGTAGGATCAACGTTAAGCTTCACCAAACCTGCACCACATCACAGCCCTTTGCAGGGACTTGGCTTCGTGCCTGCTGACCATTTTAGATCTTCAAAAGCATACAGCTATGTGGGCACATAGCCTGTTTCTATTACAGGCAGTCAGCTGGATTGAGGTATTATAAATCACACTGTGAATCAGAGCACTGCCATATACCAAATACTCTGATCTCTAATTTAAATTTAATATGGTGAACGGAAGACTTTAGAGCTAGAAGAGCCTTAGAGTTTGTTTCATGACACCCCTTTTCCAGGAGAAGCGAGGAAACAGATGCAGGGGAATTTATGCCCAGGTCTAGTGGCAGATCTAAGATTAGAATCCAAGACTCCTGACCTGGAGGCCAGTTCATCTGCCGTCCTGCTCCAGTGTTCTCAGATCTACCCACAGAGAACAAAGGCCTCAAGTCAGACCAATTCGGGCATCAGTTTGCCTTTTTTATGACTCACTCCACTGATTGACACTTCTGGGCTTCTTCCTTGTGGAATGGAGCAGAGCCTACCCATTGCATCCATTTACCTAGTTCTGAGTCCCCAGAGCTCAGGCCTGTGAGAAAAGGACATGGGAGATGGACATGAGTACGATCCGTATGATGGCACCAACCATGGTCTACACGGAGGGTCA